AGGTATTGTGTGGTTCATGCCCCCTTCGTGTTTGTGAATCGCGCATTGGGTCGTCACGTGGTTCCACGGGGCTGTCCCGCGTGACCGCAATTGCCCGCTGACCGGTGGAGGTTCCCGTCTCCCATCTGTGCATCGTCAGCTGTCGGCATCTGCTGCTACTTGCCACGGTTCGTGTGCGGATGCGGTTTGAGGGTTGTGGCCCACAATTCAATTGCTAGATGAAGGTTCGCATTTGAAAAGTAAAATACTTCTTTGGGTAGCAATCGTCGCTCCTTCCTATGAACACTGAGCAGGACCCTCCTGAAAACAGTTGATACTAGGCAAGGCTTTCCTGGGTAAACAAGCATCATAATATAATAGTAGGTTTTTACCCTTTTAAACTGGTACAAAACTGACACCTTTATTCAAGGCATCATGTTTGCAATAACCACAACACAAGTAGTCAAAAAAGCAAACAAAAAGATGCAACTCTGATAATGATAATAATATGCACTGTCCTTGAAGTTGATTGGTCCACACCCGAGACGGCTTTCTTTAGAGCCTAGTCCCCATTGGTGTTGGACCAGATGACACCAGAAGGCGTACAACTCAAACACAGTGCAATATCAGAGTATTGAGAGCTCGGGGTAAGAATTTACACTATGAGATCTCTTTTTTTTTCATCATAATACTCATACGATCGACCATGCTCAATCCACTGCTGTAATGAAGATCTCCCCGAGCCACCGCTCACTATCATGCAGTGTAATAATCCGTGTAGCGCCTGCACTCAAATTGATGTCATTATTGCACCTCATAGTGGCACGTATTGCATACGCAGTACTGTCCACAAAATGCGTGTACAATTCTCATCGAGCATCTTGCCACAGCGGTCATGCAAGGGATCCTTGGGCAAGTGAGACTCTTAACTTTTAGGCCACTGAAGTGGTTAAATTTGAGATGGCTGTACAACAAGTAGGTTGCTTAGCTACCTGTACAACAGATTCCTGAGTAGTGTCCCCTCGTGTTGCGTTGACGATGTCCTGGCACTCCGTTTATTTCCAAAAGTTAATTAACTACCCAGCAAAGAATTGGCTAAACATCCTACGCAGGATCCTCCTAAAGAAGCGTCTTGAGACTCATCTACGAGCTAAGTGCATGTGTATTGTAATTAATATTATAATTTCTGCACGCACAAAAATATGTCTGTTAAGCCGTATAGACTGTCGGGGCAAATGCTGTTCGCGAGCACCTATTAGGGCCAGCATGGCACACGTGCGGGGTAGTGGGGCCAGCGCTACGCCCAGCCGCCTTTGTCCTTCCGAGTGCTAATTTTCACATTCCCTGCAGTTTGAGACAACCTAGGCGAGTCATGGAAAGGTACAAACGCGACTTGGCGTTTAAATGTAACCATGGCCCAGAATCAAACTCAGACAAATGGCATTGTAGCACAGGGTGCAAACAACAGCGCCCACCATTCCCTCCGTACACACGCACGGGAAAACATTCAGTGGACACCACTTCCTGTGATCCTATTGAACATTTTAATCCTCACCGAACCTCGAGATTGTTATTTGACAGATGGATCCCGCGCGCGAAGCGGCCGATATTTCGACCGAACACATTTTTTTTAACAGGCGCTTTGCTTGCCGGGGCAAATTTAGAATACCCGGAAAGAACCCTTAACTCAAGTACAAAGTGAGACACCGCGAACAAGGCACAGAGGGAGGGAATGAGGTGAGCGGGGCACGGGAGATGAGAGAGAGAGGAGAGAGCGGCGAGGAGGAAGACACGTGTGCGCCGCCACCCCCCACCCCCCAAAATTCAAAGCACATGCCAAGCCACAAATGCCCTCTGCCTCCCAATTGGCATGGCTTCCGAGCGGGCTGCGAGCACTTAGGGCGAGGCTGCTTGTGATTTGTGTTTGTGTTGGGTCAACGTGCGTCGCTGCGCGCCCGTGTCGCGACAAGCGGACAACAATCCCACAGCTCGATTGGAAACGCGTCCCCCCACTACCCCCCCTGACCGGGCCCACGGGGGCCAGACACGGCCCGGTAATTCGCTTCACCCTCAACGCGGTCACACGAGGCCAACCGCCACTTTGAAACGGCTCGCAAACGACGTGTCACAACACCCTTAGTAGAGGTCGCGTGAAAATATATAAATGTGTCGTTAAACCCGCCACCACCCGACACAGCCATTAGTAAGGTCTGTCACGTGAACAGAACGTAGCCAATTCGTTACGAGTACAGCACTAGTGTGTAGTGTAGTGTATAGTGTAGTGTATAGTTGTGTAGTGTATAGTAGTGTAGTGTATAGTGCAGTGTATAGTTGTGTAGTATATAGTAGTGTTGTGTATAGTGTAGTGTATAGTAGTGTATAGCAGAGGTGGGACAAAGTCATTGTTATGCAAGTCCAAGTCGAGTCTCAAATCATCAAATTCATGACTCGAGTCTGACTCGAGTCCAAGTCACATGACTCGAGTCCACACCTCAGAGGTGGGACAAAGTCATTGTTATGCAAGTCCAAGTCGAGTCTCAAGTCATCAAATTCATGACTCGAGTCTGACTCGAGTCCAAGTCACATGACTCGAGTCCACACCTCTGGTGTATAGTGTAGTGTATAGTTGCGTAGTGTATAGTAGTGTAGTGTATAGTTGTGTAGTGTATAGTTGTGTAGTGTATAGTAGTGTAGTGTATAGTGTAGTGTATAGTTGTGTAGTATAGAGTAGTGTAGTGTATAGTGTAGTGTATAGTGTAGTGTATAGCAGAGGTGGGACAAAGTCATTGTTATGCAAGTCCTAAGTCGAGTCTCAAGTCATCAAATTCATGACTCGAGTCTGACTCGAGTCCAAGTCACATGACTCGAGTCCACACCTCAGAGGTGGGACAAAGTCATTGTTATGCAAGTCCAAGTCGAGTCTCAAGTCATCAAATTCATGACTCGAGTCTGACTCGAGTCCAAGTCACATGACTCGAGTCCACACCTCTGGTGTATAGTGTAGTATACTAGTACAGCACACCGGTGTGTTGGAGAGTAAATCCACAACATTTGCAATCTGAGCACGACGTTTCGCCCGTAATTACAACTAGCTTCATCAGGTTTAACGACACATTTATATTTACACGATCTAACCCCCCCCAAAAAATCCAATAATATGGATTATATCGGTGGCAAAAGGCCACGTGTTACAATGTTACAACACTGTAAGTTCGCTGATAGCGGTTGAGATGAGCATCAACCATCACTGCAAACGCCGGCCATCCTCACAGCAGAGGCCCTTTCTACACGCTTTCATTTAACTCACTCTGTCTGTTGTTGTTGTTTGTTGTTGTTGTTGTGTTTGTTGTATCCTCAAATCTTCTAACTCAATTTTAACCCACTTCCCAATGTGACATCTACTGCAAACTTTGTATATTTATGTCATACTGATGACAATACTATATTCTATCATAAAAAATATATTTTTAGACATAATTTTTTATATGTTATGTTTCGGCTTGGGTCTAATTGTCCACGGTCAACTGACGTTGGCTGTAATTGGCCACGGTCCCTTACGTTATGGCAAGCTTCGGGGCCACTTCCTGGAGTCGTGGAGTTCTTCCATTACTAGTACATTTCATAAAAGCCTGTTTAAAAAACGTTTTTTTTTAATATTACTCATTTTCTAACCACCGGGCAAAGACGGCTGTCACCGCATCGCTTTCAGACGTGCTTCTGCGGCCGTCTGGAACGCTCTTCCTTCCGGGATTAGATTGACAACCCCATTCCTTTAGAACTTCTTTTTGTCGTTTAGTTTGTTGTCCTTCGCCCCGCAGCAACGATTAGCGCGGTTTGCTACGTACGCGCCAAGAAAAGTTAAACGTACGTATGTACATGATGAAGAGTGGGTTTTTTAAGCTTTCGTGACTGCAGGAATCCATACTCTTTGGTTCTTTCGGAAAAGTCACGTAGGTAGAAAATCAAATAAATCGTGTTCCTCCCTTAAAACAACCCAATTCTCTTCCCGTAGCCCATCATGCTTCTACTGCTACTCCCTGCCCCCACCTCCAGCTACGACCAGGCCTAGCCCAATTCCTATTACTACTCTACCCCTATCACTACCACTACCTCTACCCCTATCACTACCACTATCACTACCCCTATCACTACCACTATCACTACCACTATCACTACCACTATCACTACCCCTATCACTACCCCAGCCCCTATCACTACCCCTATCACTACCCCAGCCCCTATCACTACCACTATCACTACCCCAGCCCCTTTCACTACCCCTATCACTACCCCAGCCCCTATCACTACCACTATCACTACCCCAGCCCCTATCACTACCACTATCACTACCCCAGCCCCTATCACTACCACTATCACTACCCCTACCCCAGTCCCTATCACTACCACTATCACTACCACTATCACTACCCCAGCCCCTACCACTATCACTACCCCTACCCCAGCCCCTATCACTACCACTATCACTACCCCAGCCCCTATAACTATCACTACCCCAGCCCCTACCACTATCACTACCCCTACCCCAGCCCCTATCACTACCACTATCACTACCCCAGCCCCTATCACTATCACTACCCCAGCCCCTATCACTACCACTATCACTACCCCAGCCCCTATCACTATCCCAACCCCCATCACTACCCCTATCACAACTCCAACCACTATCACTATCACTATCCAAACCCCTCCCCCCTAACCTGCCTGTCTTCCAAAGTGTCACCCTAACTACACCACCACCACCACTTTTCACAACAACAACAACCCCACTCTCGATTTCAACCGCTGCCGTCTCACGTGCAATTCATTTGTATTGATTTTTCCCACGTGACATTCCGATTGCTGTTTGTCCCCCCCACCTCCCCTCCCGCGATCGGGGCTAGCGTCGATTTATTAAAACGATTATCATCATTTATATTCACACGTGTTTATATATATATTTTTTTTTTAACCCTCCCCCATTAAAGCTGGGGGCTTCCCCCCATCCCCGGCCGCGTCTTCACCTGCGTGCCGTTGATGGCGTTGAGCGGAGCGCACTGCTCGTGGACGCGCTCCACGGCGCCGCTCCTCTTGCGCTGCCGCCGCGCGAGCCGCGCCAGGTGCGCGTCCAGGGAGGGCACCCGGCGGCCGCGCACGTCGCCCTCCGTGAGCGACGCCGCCAGCAGCAGCAGCCACACGGGACGCTTGCGCTCCCAGTCGCCCGCCAGAGCACGGAACAGCAGCTCGGCCGACGCGGCGCCGCTCGGGATGCCGCCGCCTGAGTCGTCGAACCGAGACGCCGGTGCCGGCTTGGAGCCCAGCCACACGGGCATCATGCCACGCACGTACTCCAGGTGATGCTGCGCGCGTGGGGAGGGACGAGAGAGCGGTCGGCGGTGGTGGTGGTGGCGATGAGGAGGGTGGGGAAGAGGTGTAACAGGAGGTGGGGAGGTTTAGGGTAGCCGTTGAGCAATCAGCGCGCAACGCTTCATTCCCACGAATGAACGTCAAGATTGAAAGCCGAGTTCTTTAGAACTGCTTTGTGTGTTTAGTTTGGTGTCCTTCCCCCACAACTCCGATGAACACGGTTGGCTACGTACGGTACGGAAGAAGTTCAGCATACATGCAAGATGCAGCTCACCATCTTCACGATCCTTCACAGACTCATCACTGCCTATCTCTCCCCTCTCAGCTCACTCTACTCCCCTCCACGCATTCTCCTACCTCTCCCCTCTCATCTCACTCTACTCCCCTCCACGCATTCTCCTACCTCTCCCCTCTCATATCACTCTATTGTCCTCCACGCACTCTCCTACCTCTTCCCTCTCAGCTCACTCTACTCCCCTCCACGCACTCTCCTACCTCTCCCCACTCATCTCACTCTACTCCCCTCCACGCACTCTCCTACATCTCCCCACTCATCTCACTCTACTCCCCTCCACGTACTCTCCTACCTCTCCCCTCTCATCTCACTCTATACCCCTCCACGCACTCTCCTGCCTCTCCCCTCTCATCTCACTCTACTCCCCTCCACGTACTCTCCTACATCTCCCCACTCATATCACTCTACTCTCCTCCACGCACTCTCCTGCCTCTCCCCTCTCATCTCACTCTACTCCCCTCCACGCACTCTCCTGCCTCTCCCCTCTCATCTCACTCTTCTGCCCTCAACGCCTCTCCCCTCTCATCTGTGCGACCCTCTCCATCCATTTGGCTATCGAATGTAAATCAATTATTTAATTTTATTATGCTGGATCAGCAATTAATAATAAAAATATAGATACTTTGGAAGATCCCGAAACGAGTAAACGTTTCCGTTGACACAAAACCTGACATCACAGGAAGTGATGTCAATCCCACGCCATCACTTCTGTCATTCTGACGGCACGTGGCGTTTGTGTGACATCACTATCGTTAGCACGAATGCATTTGAAGCCAGTACAGCGTGCCAAACGATCTGCAAATTCGAAAATAAAAAAAACATATCCAAAACTCTCCATAAAAACCCAAATCTACGAAATCGATTATTTATTTTAAAACGAAGCAATTTTTTTATTTTAGCAGGTAAGGCCCACTGAACTATACAGCTCTCTTTCAGAAGCGACCTGGTCACAGATCATAGCTAAAGGAAGTGGCTTATCGCGTGGAAAATTATAGCAGCCAAATACTCTAAACGCGTGATGTTAATTCGAAATGTGGAAGGAAAAACCGGGAGGAGCCGGATAAAATTTGACGCGACCACGGGGAGAGAGAACACAAATCCTCCAAATATACATGCGTCAGGGTCAGACCCACGACCTCCAGTATGCCAGGCGAGTTAGCTAACATCTCGCCGCCGTGGCACCCATATATATAGCTTAGAGAGGAAACGTGAGGCTCGTTATTTTTCAGAAGCGATCTGGTCACATAGGAAAGCTCAGCGAAGGGGCTTATCACGTGGGAATGTATAGCAGCCAAATACTTTGAACGCCTGATGTTAATTCTAAATATGGAGGGGAAAATCGGAGGACCCAGAGAAAAATCCACGCGACCAGGGGGAGAGAGAGAATATGCAAACTCCAAATTTACATACTCTTAGGTTTTTTCGGTAAAGTCACGTAGGTAAAAAATAAAATTAAAATTAATAAAAGTAAAATAAAAATCACGACGTTTCGGAGGCAACACAAGCTTACGTCTTCAGGTGGAACCGTCACAGCACGATTGCTGTATCAAGTAAAGTAAGTCTTGAAGACGGAAGCTTGTGTTGCATCCGAAACGTCGTGATTTTTATTTTACTTTTAATAATTTTATTTTTTACCTAAAAAACCTAAGAGTATGAATCCTTGCAGTCACGAAAACTTCAAATCTAGAATCCATATTTACAGTCGCAAATAAGCTCGGCATCGAATCCACGACCTCCTGTATACCGGGCGATGTTGTTAACATCTCAAATCCACAACTCAAAACAACGGAAACAACTTGCGGCTGTGGTGGGTGGGTGGGTGGTGGTGGTGGATGGGTGGTGGTGGTGGGTGGGTGGGTGGTGGTGGTGGTGGTGGGACCGCCGTGCCCCCCCTCCTCCCCCGTACCTTGAGCCGCGAGTAGAGTGCCACCGGCAGCGCTTCGCCCGGCAGCGTCTCGCCGTGCGGCAGCCTCTGGCAGGCCGAGAGCGCCTCCATGGTCCGCGGCTCCGACACGTCGAGCTCGAAGTAGACGCTGTGCGACAGCGCGAACGCGCGCTTCGCGTTGCCCGGCACGAAGGGCCACACGCGCTCGTAGGGGACGTGCACGGTGCCGAAGAGGAAGGCCGGCGGAGAGCGCTCCACGCGCCACAGGAACGAGTTGAGGTCGCCCTGCTGCGCGGTGCGGTGGGGGGCGATGGGATGGCCATTAACAGTTGTTGTTGGTTAGACATCGACTGACATGAACTTATTTTCTTGGTTCTTTCGGTAAAGTCACGTAGAAGGGAAATAAAAAAATAATATTGATGTAAAACAATACAAAATTCTCGCGACGTTTCGACTGCAACACGAAAACTCATCATCAGGTGTGAAATCCACAGGTGTGAAAAAAAAATATTGATATAAAACAATAAAAATTCTCACGACGTTTCGACTGCAACACAAGCAATCATCATCAGGTGTGAAATCCACAGGTGTGAAATAATAAAATAATATAAATATAAAACAATAAAAATTCTCACGACGTTTCGACTGCAACACAAGCAATCATCATCAGGTGTGAAATCCACAGGTTTGAAATAATACAATTATATAAATATAAAACAATAACAATTCTCGCGACGTTTCGACTGCAACACAAGCAATCATCATCAGGTGTGAAATCCACAGGTGTGAAATAATAAAATAATATAAATATAAAGCAATAAACATTCTCGCGACGTTTCGACTGCAACACGAGCAATCATCATCAGGTGTGAAATCCACAGGTGTGAAATAATAAAATAATATAAATATAAAACAATAAAAATTCTCACGACGTTTCGACTGCAACACAAGCAATCATCAGCAGGTGCTTGTGTTGCTTGTGATGCAGTCGAAACGTCGTGAGAATTTTTATTGTTTTATATTTATATTATTTTATTATTTCCCTTCTACGTGACTTTACCGAAAAAACCTAAGAATATGAATCATTGCAGTCACGAAAGTTTCAAAACAAAATGACATTAACTTATTATTTGGTTCTTTCGGTAAAGTCACGTAGGTAAAAAATTAAATTAAATTTTTATTTTTTATTTTTTTTTCACCTACGTGACTTTACCGAAAGAACCAAAGAATATGGATCCTTGCAGTCACGAAAACTTCAAATCAAGACTGACATTAACTTGCTAATTTTTTTATTAACTTTTACATGCTTCTCTCATCAAAATAAACATGCTAATCCTACACGCCAATTTGAGCTCTTATGCGCTACGGAAGCTCATTCACTTTGCACTATAGTCCAACATGCTCATCTAAGTACAGTTCCCTTTAACATGCCACGCTGTTTATTACCTTTAAACTATAATACCCCATTAACACTACTTCGGCTACCTTTGTTCTCAAAAACTTCTATAAACTCTTGCTGGTGACAGCTTCTCTTCACAACGCAGCAGACACCGCGGCTATCGAGATTTTCACCTGAAGACGATGGCTTGTGTTGCGCCCGAAACGTCGTGTTTTATTTTTATTTCCTTTTCTACCTACGTGACTTTACCGAAAGAACCAAAGAGTATGGATTCCTGCAGTCACGATAGATTCAAATCAAGGTTGTTGTTGTTGTGCTTTTTTGTTGTTATTGTTGATATTGTTGTTATTTGTGTTGCTGTTGTGATTTTTGTTGTTATTTGTCTTGCTGCTGCTGTTATTGTTGTTGACATTGTTGTTATTGCTATCGCTGTTGTTGACATTGATGGAAACTTCTCGGATCCCCTTGGGGGGGTTCGGCGAGGAGACATTTGGGGAGGCCACAGGGAGAGACGTGTGTTATGCAGGCACGATCGGGTCTCTTTGATTCAGAACAAATCGACGCCACCGCTGCCGACTCGTGCGAGGCTCGCGCACGCCGGCGCGTTGGCAAGTAGTGCGTCTCCCGGCGAAGCGACGTGGAATGTTTCGTTCACAGTCGACTGTGGGGCCCTCTAAGAGAGCGCATCGCCGCCACCGCGCCGGTTCGAGCAGCGAAACGTCTACACTTTCCGAAAGGAAACGCTCCGAGTAACCGACATCCGCTCCCGCCACCGCTGCCTCCTACTTACAGACGCCTGCTGTAGAAGCATCCACACAACACCTGTTGAGTCGGTGCCCCCTGCCACGAGCACCATCTGGGCGCGTCTGCGTTACGCGGTTCTACAGTTATAGCCCATCGCATGCCGCCGCGAATTGAGAGCGAGACGGGAGATGCGACGGGAGGCACAGGCGGAGCGAGGGTGGTGTGAGCTTGTGGAGAGAAATTTGTCCCGTGCACAGATAATCACAATCACGATGTGTGTTGCCCGTGCGGGGGGGGGGGTTAGCGCCATCACCTTCCCCCCCCGAGATCGATCCCCGCTCGCGACAGACAAGGGTGCTAGGTCGACGCAGCCTCAAATGAGTACCAGGTGCAAAACTTTGGCACCGGGGAGACAAAGGCGGTCGGGCGTGGCAATTTGGCCACTCATTCCTTCTCGAGTTGCCTTGCCGGCCTTCATAGGTGCTCGCTAACAGCACTTGCCCCAACAGTCTGTTCAGGTTACACGGTGGTGAGAGAGAATGTGTATATTGAGCAAACGCACGTGTGTGTGTCTGCGTATGATGAGGAGCGGTGGTGTAGCGGTTAGAGCGCTGCGCTACGAACCCGGCGACCCCAGTTGGATTTCCACTCACGGCCAACACCAGTGACGATTATCTGGACCAGTCCTGGGCCTCCCTTAGGTCGACTTAGCCTAAAATGAGTACCTGGTGTAAAAACACGCCACTATGGACACAAAGGCGGCCGGGCGTGGTGCCGGCCACCCACTCCCTCGTGTGCCGTGCCGACCTTCATAGGCGCTCGCTAACAGCACTTGCCCCAACAGTCTGTTCAGGCTATACGGGGCATCTTTGTGTGTGCATGTGGAAAGCGGTTAGCACGATGAACTCTGAACCCGGCCGATCTGGTTTCAGTAAAAAACAAACATCGCTCTGAGTTTATCCGCGGAGTTTAAACGATTCAAACTGACCTGGTCTTGTCTGGGCTGGCTCTCAGATGATTCTCACAATCGTCCCACGACTCTCGTTTGATTCGTTCCATCGCTTTCTTCTCCCGAGAAGCTCCCCCCCCCCCCCCCCCCGCTACTCGCAAGTTCTTTCGCGATCACGGCTACGGTGGCGCTCCTCCATCAACTGGGGCGCCCCAGATGTTATCTCTCTCTCGTCCGTTATCAGAGGTCGCAACCGGGTACCCGATACCCGTACCCTACCCGATACCCGGCTACCCGTACCCGGCCTGGTACGGGTACCCATTTGCGACCCTGGTGCGGCCGGGTACGGGTAGGCCGTGAGTCACTGGTGAGTCACCGTTTGTCACTCGTTTCCCAACGTCTTGTCTCTTCTCACAATTCAAGTTCCTAGAATCAACCCACCCGCGCCTGCAACATGGCTTCATCCCAGAGGTCGCAATCGGGTACCCGTACCCTACCCGATACCCGGCCGGGTACGGGTAGCCGGGTATCGGGTAGGGAACGGGTACCCGTTTGCGACCCTGGTGCGGCCGGGTACGGGTAAGGAATCAAAACCCGTTTGCGACCTCTGCCCGTTATGCAGGAGGTCGTGGGTTCGATCTCACGAACTCTGACGCCTGATGTGTGTCTCTCTCTCTGTCTCTCCCAGTGGTCGCGTGGATTTTTCTCCGGGTCCTCCGGTTTTGTTTTTATACTTCTCCTTTCCGCCTCCACATTTAGAATCAACAGCACGCGTTTGGATTGTGCGGCTGCTAGAAATGTCCACTTTGTCGGGCTATCGTTTGTCACCAGGTCGCCTCTGCTAAAAAAAAAGAGCTACACAGCCAAGTGCGCCTCAGCTGGTAAAATAACAAAATAGTTTAGAGCTTCGTTTAGCTGCTCAAAGGATCGTGAACCACCCCCTCGCCCCCCTTGACGCCAACAGCCCCGCCAGCGTCCGGCAATCTTGCCCCCCGGGAGTCTCGTTCTGTGCAACAAGCCGGGCGCTCTCCCGGAATCATCGCAACGACACAGCCCTGGCGCACGACGGGACCCGGTTGGCGACCCCGTGCGCACCACGACCCCGCGACGACCACAACCTCCTCTTTACAACCAACTCTCGCTCGCGAGCGTCTCTCCCTCGTCGCCGCCACCGCTCCCAAACCTCTCCGGGACAAGTGACGCGCTCGCTCAGGCCCCCCATGAGATGATCGTAGAGCGACCGTAGTGGTGAGTGTAGTGATGGTGAGTGTAGTGGTGAGTAGGGGTGAGTGTAGTGGTGAGTGTAGTGGTGAGTAGTGGTGAGTGTAGTGGTGAGTGTAGGGGTGAGTGTAGTGGTGAGTGTAGAGCGAGCGCAGTGGTGAGTGTGGCGGTGAGTGTAGTGGTGAGTGTAGAGCCACCGTAGTGGTGAGTGTGGTGGTGAGCGTAGTGGTGACCGTAGTGGTGAGTGTAGAACAACTGTAAAGGTAAGAAGAGAGAAAACATTGTTGTCTTTGTTGTCGTCGTCGTTGTTGTCGCCTTGCTGGGCGCGATGCCGGACGCTTCACTCCACGTCCCGGGAACTTCTTCAGGGATTCAATTGAAGGAAGCTCTGGTATATCCAGTGTGTCGTAACAACCCTCCTCCACCCGACACAGAACAACTGGCAACGTTGGTCACGTGATGGAACGAACGTGTGCGGATCGCTCTCGGGCAGGGGTCTTCAAAGACCTCTTCGCCAAGTTATTGATTGAGGACCACCGTTTCGTATTCACCGCGGTGCATTGCGCCTCTTGAACATTTGAGGATTCCCCCCCCCCCCCCCACATAATAGACGTTTTTTGGGGTTAGATCGCGTAAATATAAATGTGCCGTTAAACCCGCCACCACCCGACACGGCCAATTAGTAAGGTTTGTCACGTGAACAGAACGTAGCCAATTCGTTACTAGTACAGCACACCGGTGTGTTGGAGAGCAATCCCACAACATTTACCCTGCGAGCACGATGTTTCGCCCGTAATTACAACCAGCTTCATCAGGCGGAGTGCCAGAGTTGTGGAGAACTCCTCCTGCTTGGGTCTTAAATAGCGGCATGAATGTGATGCCGTCACTGGCGAGCCAGATCAGGTGTATGTCTACGCGCCTGTCTCTCATCCATCGTTCTGCCTACCAATGTTTATATTTGCTAGATATATTTAGATATTGCGTTACGAAAGATCGTATAGTTGGCTATCTCAGTCAGCTCCGTCAGTGTTAGACGGCTGGTGCTGCGTACAGGCTGCGCTGAGCTGCTGTGGAGAGAGTTCGGACGAGACCGTGAAAGTTGTTCATGAACAAGATGCCTCCTAGAAGCTCTGTCTCTCTCTGAATCGACGACACTGCACGTGCACTGCTGTGTTCGGCTGGGCGATCCTCCGCGAAATGTTAAAGAGGCAGCCTCGTGCTGGGAGTGTGTGAGTTTGTGTGTGTGAGTGTTTGTATGTATGTGTGAGTGTTTGTGTGTGTGAGTGTTTGTGTGTGTGAGTGTTTGTGTGTATGTGTCAGTGTTTGTGTGTGTGAGTGTTTGTGTGTGTGAGTGTTTGTGTGTATGTGTGAGTGTTTGTGTGTGTGTGAGTGTTTGTGTGTGTGAGTGTTTGTATGTATGTGTGAGTGTTTGTGTGTGTGAGTGTTTGTGTGTGTGAGTGTTTGTGTGTATGTGTCAGTGTTTGTGTGTGTGAGTGTTTGTGTGTGTGAGTGTTTGTGTGTATGTGTGAGTGTTTGTGTGTGTGAGTGTTTGTATGTATGTGTGAGTGTTTGTGTGTGTGAGTGTTTGTGTGAGTCAGTGAGTGTTTGTGTGTGTGAGTGTTTGTGTGAGTCAGTGAGTGTTTGTGTGTGTGTTTGTGTGAGTCAGTGAGTGTTTGTGTGTGTGTGAGTGTTTGTGTGTGTGTGAGTGTTTGTGTGAGTCAGTGAGTGTTTGTGTGTGTGAGTGTTTGTGTGAGTCAGTGAGTGTTTGTGTGTGTGTGTGAGAGTGTTTGTGTGTGTGGGAGAGTGTTTGTGTGTGTGTGAGAGAGTGTTTGTGTGTGAGTGTTTATGTGTGTGCGTGAGTGTTTGTGTGAGTGAGTGTCTGTGTGAATGTGAGTGAGTGTCTGTGTGAGTGTTTGTGTGTGTGCGTGAGTGTTTGTGTGAGTGAGTGTTAATGTGTGTTTGTGTGTGTGTGTGCAATTGTGGTTACTCGTTGCGCCCCTTCCAAATAGCAAGCCAGCATCAGGACTCAAGGTAAGTGAAAATAAAGTGTGTTTTTCTATTTGTGTTACTTTATTTTATGTTGTATTTACTATATACAGTATTTAAGTATGATGTTACATGCAAATGTACAATAAATCTTATTCATGAGTTGAACAATGCTTCCCTTTTTGTTGAACATTCATAACAATGACCGCATGGGAATTTAAATACAATTCATTGTTCTGTTCCGACTTTCTAACCCTTCGACTTACGAACGCGGCTCGGTGTTCGTAAGTCGGGGACTGCCGGCGAACATTCCGAGAACGAGTTGAACGGAATTCGCAATAACGGGACGGGCCGTTTAAGAAAACAAGTGTTCTACTGCGAGTTGCCTGAATGACAGCAGACCGTGACATTTGTTCTCTCTCCCATTTCTTTTATTCTTCTTCTTTGGACATTCGGTTGTAAATGCCAGAGGCTCCACACAGCCAAACAGCAGCAGCAGCAAACATGTTCAGGGGCTAAATGCGCAAAGTCAAGATCTGCTGCCGCCACTGGCCACGTCGAGAAGGCTTCAGCAGGGAGAGAGAGAACAGAGAGTTCGTGTTGCTGTTCCTCCTCCTTTGAAAGAGCGCAGATGACAGTGGGGTTTACTAATATGGTCCATAGTTTAGAGTTGCATGATTTAAATCGCACTACTCTGGCTTGTCTTTGATGTATCTGCGTGTCTTCGTGGGTCTCTACGTATCTCTATGGGTGTCTCTGTATCTCTATCAGTTCCTATATATCTCCATGAGTCTCTATGCACAGTGTCTCTATGGGTTTATTGTGTGGTCCATAGCTCGGGTTACAAGGCTACAATCGCACTGCTGTGGCTTGTCTTTGATGTATCTGCGTGTCTTCGTGGGTCTCTACGTATCTCTATGAGTGTCTCTGTATCTCTATCAGTTCCTATATATCTCCATGAGTCTCTATGCACAATGTCTCTATGGGTTTATTGTGTGGTCCATAGCTCGGGTTACAAGGCTACAATCGCACTGCTGTGGCTTGGTTTGATGTATCTGCGTGTCTTCGTGGGTCTCTACGTATCTCTTTGTATGTCTATGTATCGCTGAGTCTCTGTGCATCTCTATGAGTCGCTATGTACGGTATCTCTACGTGTATATGTATACGTGCGTGTCTCGATGTATCTCCACGAGTCTCTGTGAAACTTTATGCATCTCTGTCTTTGAACTGTCCAGCGCAGAGCTCGAAACTTTCAGCACGTATCATTCACTTATTTATATTTCAACCAGAGGCACACAACACACACACAAAAACACCGCACGCACACAAAACCACGAACGGCACACTCATGCGGTGACCAGGCAGCTGGCCCCGACACGAATAACAAACAAGATAAACACGAGGAAATTAAATCGAGGAGGAGGGGGGGGGAGCTGGAGAACGTTGGGCGCTTACTTTCTTTGGCAGTGGGCAGCGAACATCCCCGTGTCCGTTTCCTCCGGCGAGGACAGACAGCGCCGCGGCCACGGTGACAAATCCGCGGCGCATCTTCGCCCACGAGCTCGCCGCCTTTGTGACGACGGTGATGGTGACGACGTTGTCGTTGTTGTTGTTGACCGGCGACGAAGACGACCACGACGATGCTATGAAGTCACCGCGAAGGCTCCTGCTGTCTCTCGCCGCGCCTCAATTCTGCTGCGCGCACCAGTTGGATTCCCCGCTGTGGCATTTTTGAGAAAATGTAGGAATCGGGAGAGTCGGTGGTGGTGGTGGTGGGGGCCCGCACTGGGGAGGTTAATCGTGGGGTGGGGGCACCGTGCGTGTGATGCGAGTGAGCGCTGTGTGAAGTTGCTGCCGGTCTGGTTAAACAGCCGTGTGTGTGTGTGTTGGGTCACATACTCCCCGGCCACGCCTCCAACCCATGCACACACGCGCACGTGCACGCACGGACACACGCGCACGTGCACGCACGGGCACGCGCGCGCGTAAGGCAACATACAGACACCCACATTGACACGCATGTAAACATGCACACACACGCGCGCACCCAGATACATACCCTTGCATACGCACGTATGTTGAACTTCTTTCGCACCGTACGTAGCCAACCGTGCTCGTCGGATGTGCGGGGGGGGGGGGATGACAACAGACTAAGCATACAAATCTGTTCTAAAGAAATGAGTTTTCAATCGAAGATTACTTGAAAGTGCATAGCTCCAGTGGCGTTCTAATATCGGAAGGAAGAGCGTTCCAGACGGCCGCAGAAGCGCGTATGAAAGCGCGCGGTGCAGTGACCGCCTTTCTATTACAGCCAACATACAAACCCAGATACATATACACAACAGATGCACACCCATACGCACACGCACACACATAGACCTAAACACATCTGCAAACACAGAAACAAATATCCCCCGCATAGCCCTAACAGCCTTTTTGAGACAAGTGCTGTTAGCGAGTAGCACCTACGAAGGCCGGCACGGTACACGAGGGGGTGGGTGGCCAGCACCACGCCCGGCCACCTGTGTCCGAAAATACCTGCACATGGGCAGACACACACACACAGACACACTCAAACGCGTACACACACGAACAGACTCATCCAAATACCCTTTGGGTACACAATACTGTGCAGTGCTCACAGACACATGCACCATACAAAGATCTCCCATAATGCCATAGGAACTGTGGGTGCGCCAATTGCTGTTAGCGAGCACCTATTAAGGCTCGATTTTACGGACAGATGCAGGCGTGGTGGGGCTCCCATCATCAGTGCTGATGTCCACACCATCGTTCCAGGTACCGGCTTACAGCTGAGTAAATATAGGGGAGACAATTGTAAATGTTACTCACCACCGATATTAGCCCTGGCTGGGAATTAAAGTGGGGCCGCTGGGTTCTAACACGCGGGCACAAAGACCAGACTGACAAAGATCCCCCACGTATAGCGTGCAAACAGACTGCTAGGTCATGTGCTGTTAGCGATCACGGACACAAAACAAAGACGAAGATCACCCGGATGGCCTTAAACATGCTTTTGGGAAAAGTGCTGTTTGCGAGCACCTATGAAGGCCGGCACAGCAGACGACGGCGTGGGTGGCAACTGGCCACGCCCGGCCGCCTTTGTCTCCCCAGTGGTGATGTCTACACACCACACACTCATTGGAGGCTGAGTCGACCTAGGGGAAACCATCGGTTCAATGATCGTCACTGGTGTTCGCCGTGAGCGGGAATCGAACCCGAGTTGCCGGTTGCGTAGCACAAGCGCGCTAACCACTACACTACCGCTCCCCACAAGACAAAGATCCCCCGTATAGCCTTGACAAACTGTTGGGACAAGTGCTGTTAGCGAGCACCTATGAAGGCCGGAACGGTACACGAGGGGATGGGTGGCCAGCACCACGCCCGGTCGGCTTTGTCTCCCCAGTGGCGATGTTTACACACCGCACCAGTTACTCAGTTGAGGCTGAGTTGACACTACCGCTCCCTACCTACACACACACACACACACGTGCACGCACATACACGCGTAACCCACGCTATCCACATATTCCGCACACAAATTTCCACGCTGCCTCATCACCGATACGTCAACACCCTAACTAAATGCATGTGCCACGTCAGAGGGCTTTTATTTGTCTTTTACCTCCAGACAGACACAGCGTACGCAGCTTTAAAGTCAAGGTAGTGGGTGGGGGGTATCCGATTGATACACTTCGTGTTGTATAAGATGTCATGCGAGGTTTTTCTGTTTTCAATCTTTCTTTACCGTTGGAGTAATCGCTGCGTTGAGCTCACAACATCAATTCCGTGATGCAATGGTGCCAGCGCCACGTTCGAATTTAACGCTTCATAGAAATAAAAGTAGCTCTTGACTTAAAGATTTCGTGACTGCAGGAATCCATACTCTTTGGGTCTTTCAGAAAAGTCACGTAGATAGAAAATAATTTTAAAAAATCACGACGTATCGACCCACAACACCAGCAATCGTCTTCATGTGAAAACATACAGTGAGAGAGCTGCTGAAACAGGAAAGACCCGACGAGGAATAAAAGTAACACTTGTTATTATTGCAGGGGTTGTCGAGTCTTATGCTAATGAATGGTGTCATCAGAAACTATTTTGTACATACAAATCTCATCAGGTCCTCAGTGCAGTCTCCAACTCTTATCATTCACCCTGTCCCTTTAGTGCCTTCTCTGTTTAAGTGCTATGGAGAAGGGCAATTACCCGAAACGTCGCCGATTACAAATGTGACCTTTTTGAAGGCTAAACAGTGCTCTTGATGAATGTATGCATCGTGCGTAGCCAACCGTGCTAATCGCAGGTGCGGGGGAAAGACAACGAACTAAACACAATAAGATGTTATAAAGAAATTAGTGTTCAATCTATACGAGTTAAAAGTGCAGTAGCTCCAGTGGCTTCCTAATATCGGAAGGAAGAGCGTTCCGGACGACTGCAAAAAGCGCATCTGAAAGCGCGCGAAGCCAAAATAAAATGTTTAGTGTTCTTGTTATTTGTGGTTATGCACCACTGCCAACACACCATCACCACTCTACCTATTGCTGCAGGGTTTCCAAATGCCTTTTCCTTAAAAAAAAAGACGCAATGTTATTGTTGGTCTATTAATAATGACATGTTGTAATTAATATTGTATCAATATTATTGCTTTATTTAAAATGCACGTTTATATTTAAAGCACACTGTGCATTCAAAACTTATAACATGGCCAGACTTTGCAAGGTGGAAAAAAATCACTTTAAGTAAAGTCAGTGGGGCTTTTATGGAGAGAGAGGGAGAAGAAAATCCTCAAATATTTTCATTTGCGGTACATCACAAGAACGCCAGTGTGCCTTAAATAAATATTTTAAGAAGAAATGCTGCCCCCGTATGTTAAGATAAAATGCTGCCCCGTATTGTAAGAGGAAATGCTGCCCCCGTATTTTAAGACGAAATGATGCCCCGTATTTTAAGAGGAAAAGCTGCCCCTTAAGAGAAAATGATGCCCCGTAGTTTAAAAAGAAATGCTGCCCCGTATTTTAAGAGGAAATGCTGCAACGAATTTTCTCATGACGTGGTCACTCCCGGCTGCCCATCACCCAAACTTCCCTACGCGGATTCATATTCTTCGGTTTTTTCGGTAAAGTCACGTAGGTAAAAATAAAAATTAATAAAAGTAAAATAAATAAAATTAAAATCACGTGACTTTAACGAAAAAACCTAAGAATATGAATCCTTGCAGTCACGAAAGCTTCAAATCTAGAATTCCCTACGCGGAACCTAATTTCTCCGCTGCGACGTAAAGCCACAGCCACCTCCACGTTCCGTTTCGTTCTCGCCACTTTTCCCAGCGCTCAGCCCCTAGAGTCGGCGGCGTTTAGACGCGCACGTCAAACAAGTGCGGCACATGGAGATGATCTCATCACGCCACCTTCACCGTATTCATCCTCTGGATTAAACCCACGACCTCCTCGAATACACGAGGTCGGGGTTTCGATACCGACCCTGGCGCCTGCTGCTGTATATTTGAAGTTTGCGTGTCTCTCTCGCCGTGGTCGCGTGGATTTTACTCTGGGTCCTCTGCTTTTTACCCCTCCACATTTAGAATCAACGTCGCGCGTTTGGAGTATTCTGGCTGTTATAGATTTCCACGTGGCGATCCACTTTGTAGAGCGATCATTTGTGGCCAGGTCGCCTCTGAAAAAGAGCGACATACTGTAGCTCAATGAGCCTTACCTAGTAAAATAAAAAAAATAGTTTGTTTATTTTGTTACAGAGGTCGCACGTTTGGTGCAACGGTCCTTTGCTGACGACGCGTGATGAATGATGATGAATGAATGATGAATGAATGAATGAACAAAATATGTCAAGTTGCCAAACTTCTCGCCTGCATCCATAAACGCGACCAACATCACTCCAATTAATTCGATCCCTCCACACTCGCTTGCTTCCGACCCATCCTGAGTACATTGCAATGTGAAAATCATCATCCTCAATCCTTTATAGACTTGCCACATGCCCAACTCTCACCGCACTACACTCCCCAACATCCACCCTCCGCTCCAGCACCTGACGTTTTCTATTTAAGGGCCCAGTATCAAGATATTGAAGGATACAAACTGGCATAAATACAGGATGTGTAAAGATGTTCAAACACAAAATAGACACCTGGTACAAGGCATGAATTCTGTATTAACCACACATCCTCATGTAAAAAAATCAGATAAATATGTTTTGACTTAAAACTTCCGTGACTGCAGGAATTCATTTTCTTTGTTTTTTTCGGTAAAGTCACGTAGATAGAAAAAAGTGAGGGTATTGGCAGTCTATAATGTAAACTGTAGCCTGGTAGACTGTAGCCTGGTTTTTAAGCTGGTAAGCATATTGGCAGTCTATAATGTAGACTGTAGCAATGGTTATTAAATTGAACCTGAGTGAGCGTACTGGCAGTCTATATTTATAAACAGTCGTGGTTTTTGTGTTCATTCTTATTTTATTTTTATTACAGAAAGAACCAGAATAAGTCTACATTATCGACTGCCAGTACGCTCACTCAGGTTCAGTTTAATAACCATTGCTACAGTCTACATTATAGACTGCCAGTAAGCTCACTTTTTATTTTTAATGTTATTTTTTCTATCTACGTGACTTTACCGAAAGAACCAAAGAATACATATAAATATGCTTTGATAATGTAAGCACTGTCCTTGAAACTGCATTGTCTCCGTACTGTTTAACTTTCGGCAGCCTTTGCGGTCTCTAGTGGAGAGACAAAGCCATAACAGAAGCTGTCTCTGATATAGGCCATCATCATCATCATAGCAGAATAATAGTGCAGGCTGTAAA